AAAATTTAGTGAATTTTAAATACAACATTAAAAATTCATTCTATCCTAAAGCTATTTGAGAATCTTGCAAAAGCAGTATAAGAAGAGGAAAAGAGCTTTACACGTAAAGTGGAATAAAATGAAAATACCAGTTCAAACTAGAAGTGTTTTTGTATGTAAATGCTAAATGTGTATAATTGGATCTACTCAAGGAAGACCTAAAAAATTCAAAAGGGGACGTATATGTAACGCGCAACCTCCATTTAATAGTCTAACTTGTCAAACATGCTTTTCAATTATTAGCAAAGGAATTACCCACAAAAGTTCTTTAGCTGTACTTAAATGTAATATAATACAAAAGCTTGCAAATAATGTCATGACAATTGAGCAAATAGCTAATTCTTTAATAAAAGATAAAATAGACAAAAAGGGTAAAGCGATACTTGCTACTGGTGGTAAAAAAGTAAGTTTTACAATTAAGAGAAACCATGATACTAGTAATATACAACAACTGTCTATAAACAGTATGATTGACATACAATCAACTTTAGAATTAAGTAACACAAAAATTTTAAAGCTAGCAAAAGAATAACGATTCAAAGCACAAAACAGAAAAATTGTACAATCAGGGTTAGCAGCAGAGCTCAGACGTATTGACCAGCAACTTGATGATTGCTTTATTGAGGATTTTGAACTTTTTAATATTAAATCTGTAGAGGAAAAAAGTTTGTTTAAACTCCATTTATCAGAACAACAGATGTCAATGAGTTTCTGTGGCAAATAATAGATAAAAAAAGGAGCCTATCCTCAAAACCAGTATATACAAGTTTCCATTTACGGAGGTCGGGGATTTCATAATTAATTTGATTTTATAATGTGCCACTTTTTTTTCTAATTAAAAATAATAAGTGTAATTTATTATAAAATATTCAGGTTTGCTTAAGTATTGTATCAAATCCTAGTGAAACAATTAAAAACAAAAGGAGAAAATATGGAGAAATTAAATCACCAAATTTCAAGGAAGGATCTGTGAAAGCATCATTTATTATAGCACTGGTACCAGATGCACCAGAGACAAACTATAATGTTAAAATTCTGCCTAACAATCTCTGTTTGGATAAAATAAACTTTACTTATGTGGCAGATATCAAACTCTGTCAAGTCAAGTGTGGTATGTCTCCAAGTTCCATGGCAACTTATCCGTGTTATATTTGTACATGTAACAAAACAGAGGTTTTTAAAAATGATTGCACTGAGCTACAAACACATGGGTCAATAAAATTTAGCCGTAAACTGTATAAATTGAGCGGATCAAAGAAAATTAGAGCAAAATAATATTTTAACTGTATTGATGAAGTTCTTTTAATTGGTGATGATAATGATCTAGTTGTTAATCATCTTTCTCCTCCAGAACTTCATTTGATGAAAGGGGCAACAAACCATATCTTTAAAACAATAAACAAATTAGCTGATCCAGTACTATTAAAAAAGATCGAAAATGACTTAAATATTTCTAAATCAATAAGAAATGGGTCATATAATGGTAATAGTTGTCAAAAAATATTAAAAAATTGGGTGAATTACTATAACTTGTTTCCAGCCCTATTAAAACCATTGGCTGAAGCGTTCAGGCTTCTGGATAACCATGTTCACTCTTGTTTTGGTGTAAATTTATAGCCAACATTTGAAAAGGACATCAGGTTATTTAAGAATCATTATTCAACCTTAGTGGAAGATTATGAAATGACAGTTACTGTGAAGTTACATATCATATTTCAACATGTAGGTCCTTTTTGTAAAGATAAGGACATTGAATTGGGTTTCTTTAGTGAACAAGCAGGGAAAGGTCTTCACTACTCATTTCTAAAGGAAGCATGGGAACGTTTTAAAGTGTCTGATAACCATCAAAAGTATGCAAATTATTTGAAAAAAGCAGTGGTTAGTTTCAATGGAAAACATTTAAATAATGTTTAATAAATATTTTCTAAAAATAATATATTTTTTTCCCTTTTAATTTTAAGAAGAAAAAAGTACCTTGCATTGGCACCCCTCAGACTGTTTTTAAGACCGATCTGAGGGGGACATATATCGACTAGTCATATTTTCTGACAAAATGTACAATAATTGCATGCACCCCTGTGGTGGGTCTTGATATAAGTTAAAGGGGCGCCTAAGTCCAGGACCCTATTTTACCCCTGTGTAAACCCAACTATTTTTTAAAGATTAGTTTTATGATTTTTTTCACTAACTTTCCTTGAATGGTTTCCCTGAAACAATTTCAAAAAGGTATGACACAACCCTATGTCATTTCATCAAACTAAAATCTGATTCAGCGTGGGTGTGCTAGAAAATGACATATTTAAACTAAAAACTAAAAATATGTTCTCAATGTTTTTTACAAAATGATGATTATTTTTAAATTTTTTATTTAATTTCCCTTCTTTTGAGATCCAACATATACTTTTGAAGAACTAGTTTTTTGATAATTATGGGGACCCATCTGATGTTTAAGGGTCTTGAACAACACCTAAAAATATTTTTTTTTGAAATTTTATAATTTTAGTATTATTTTATTATATAGAAAACATTTAGAGGGTGGGAGCAGACATTTCAAAAAAAATATGTTTTAAGGACCACCCTTTTTGTAAGCGATGTGCGGTTGCACGCCTTAAATGACCAGGTATATAATACTTTGTTTTTACAACTTGGCACTTTGCGTGTTTTAAAAATGTACTAAAATAACATAACTGTAAAGAAAATTAAAAATATAGAAACTGTAAATTCAAAAGAGAAACTAAAATCTTTAATAATAATACAAATAAAAGATAAATCAGTAAAAATAAAAAACATAAAATTAATATTTTTAAAAATTAGAAGCGCCTCAATTAATAGTTCAAACCTAGTAATTTTTTTAATTTAAAAGCATCTCAATTAATATTAAAGCTAATAATTGTTCACAACATTAGTGTAATGTTTATGAATGATTTAATGTTTTAATTACGAAGTGTGACTGTTAGTTTGGTATTGGAAGCAGGTTCAAATCCTTTAAACTGATCATTTTTTAAATGTTATTTTTGCTTAGTAGACATTAGAAAATATCAAAATTTTAAATTTTCACATAAGTTTCAATAAATTAAACTTTTTAATTAACTTTAAAACTCTAACCATTTTCTAAATTTTATGAAATGAAATAATTTTAAACTAAAAAAAAGACATTAATTTTATGTTTGCATTTTTTCTGGTTTATCTTTTATTTATTCTATCATTCATTAAAATTTATATTTTTTCAGTACAGTTTTTTCTTTTTTTTAAACAAAAATTTAAAAGTATTATAGTTTTTCAACAAAAAGTAAAATTAAATTAAAATTGCAACAAAAGAGTGTCAATAAATATTTTTTAAAATAATTTATGTTATTTATGTATTATTTTTAAAAGAGATATTTTAAATCAAAGTCTTTTTGTAATAAGAGACACTTAGATTTTTTCCTGTAAAGTTCAAGAGAGATGTTTTCAACATTATTATTTTTTGAAATAAACTTTAAAAAATATTTCCATAGAAACGGTCCACGGTATCGGATTTGATAAGAACTTAGTAAAAATTTAGTTTTTGGAACAACAAGTTATTAATAGTAGGTTATTACAAGTTATTAATAATAGTAGTACTTATTTTAGTAGAATACTTGTACAAGATTTCACTAAAGTAAGATTGATATACAATAAGAGAAAGTGCATGTTTTGTTTCAAACTGTAGAACTTGGTGTATATTAAGTTTACAGACACATAAGACACCAAGCATCCTTAAAAGAGGTTTGCAATCAATAATTCTGTGTGCACCAAATACAATCCTGCATGTTTTTGCATAATATGAAGTTTTTTTAATTTACCATTGTTAGTACTACCCCATATGATATTACAGTAAGAGATAGCACTATGAATAAATGAAAAGTATATACTTTTTAAGGAAGCAGTGTTAAGAAATGGTTTAGTTTAATATAATATGGATATATTTTTTTGAGATTTCATTTTCTATATATTTTATATAGGGCTTCCATGACAAATATAGTATTTCTCCTAGAAAATTAACAATTGGTTTGCTTTTAATAAATATTTTATCGATTAGGAGATAATAGTAATTTTAGTAATTTTAAAAGATAATAGTCACTTTTACGAGGTTTGGAGAACAAAATAAATTTAGTTTTTTCTACATTTAATGATTTACTTGTTATTACATTTAATTACATTTACTTGTAAACCATTAGTTTATTTTTAATAGTTCTTCATTAAATATATTAAATAGAACTTTTATGTCTTTGTTAGAATAAAAAAGATTAGAGTTGTCAGCAAAAATATAACATTTAAAATAATAATCAGTTCGATTACCGCATGGTTAGTTGAATTATCTTTTTTTAAATCCAAATTGTTTACTGTACAGCAAACTGTTTAACATCAAATAGTTAAGTCTGTTGTACATAATTCGTTCCAATAATTTTGAGATGCAAAGTAAGATAAAAATAGGTCTGTAGTTTGAGATATTAGTTTTGTCACTAGATTTAAAAATTGGAGTAATAAATGCAACTTTAAGTTTTTTTGGCCCAACACCAAGTTTGTTTATATATTCATAACTGATGTTTATATATATATATATATATATATATATATATATATATATATATATATATATATATATATATATATATATATATATATATATATATATATATATATATGTATTTATATATATATGTATTTATACATATATATATATATATATATATATATATATATATATATATATATATATATATATATATATATATATACATATATATATATATATATATATATATATATATATATATATATATATATATATATATATATATATATATATATATATATATATATATATGCAATGTAAATAGATTTTATTATTATCAAAAAATATATCTATTAGGTTACTAATATAATTAATATTTTTATGATACATTTATTTATTTTTACATGTTTTTATATATATATACCTTTTCATATATATCTATAATAAGTGAGTTTGGAATATTTTCAATAAATTCACTATACAAAGGTAATTTATTTGCAATAAAAACAGATGCTGTATCATAAAGTGGGCTTGCTGCATAACATGGATCTTTTTGAACCTAAAATAAAAAGATGCAAAAAAAAAATACATTGTGATGAAAAAATATAAAAACGATTTGCTTTAAATAAAATATTTGTCAACAACAATTATTATTTCTTTTATTAATCACCCCAAGGCTGAGAAAGCCATAACAATCAAGAAGGCTACTTTATTGTGGTTACAACTAGTGATGTACCGATAGCACTTTTTTGGCTGATGACTTTCAAAAAAATAAATACAATTTTAGAGGAACGCTTTTTATTCCAATTTTAAAAAGATTTTTTATTAATTCATTAGTAATTTAGATACCTAAATAACAATGTTGTTTAGATATCTAAATTATTTTTAGATTAAGTTGTTTTTAGAATAATTTTATTTTGTGATGTTTGATTCCCACCAAGTCCCTGGTAGCACCAGGCTTAACTTTTTTCTCTGCGTAGTGGGCTATTTTGTAAAGATTTGTGTTTCAAAGTTATAAAGTTGAGAGAGGGTTGTAACCATAACTAAAATAGCATCCTCAACTGGAGTGCTCTTCATGGCCTTGGAGAGGTGAATTAAAATAAAATAAAAATTGTGTATATATATATATATCTTTTAATATATATATATATATATATATATATATATATATATATATATATATATATATATACACATATATATATATATATATATATATATATATATATATATATACATATATATATATATATATATATATATATATATATATATATATATATATATATATATATATATATATATATATATATATATATACATATATATATATATATATATATATATATATATACATATATATATATATATATATATATATGTGTATATATATATATATATTTATATTTATATATATATATATATATGTTAAAAATATAAAAACATCAATTAATACAAGTTCTCTCAATACTATTGTTAATTAATTTGAAATTTTTGCTGGATTATAGTTACCAGCATCATCAGTTATAATATCGTAATTAAAAATTACAATTAGTTGTAATTTTTTAAATTACAATTAATTGTAATTGTAAGTATTTTCTCCTATAATATTGTAACTAATAATTACAATTAATTGTAATTTTTAATTTCAATATTATAGCTGATGATGCTGGTAACTATTATTCCAGCGAAAATATCAAATAAATTAACAATAGTATTGAGAGAACTCGTATTAATTGATGTTTTTATATTTTTAACATATATAGGTGGTACATATCATATATTATGTTATGTACCACCATTCCCTAAATATGTAAATAAAAAAAAAATTAATTAGACATCAGAAAGTTGTTCAAAACAATTGATAAATTTAAATTAAATTTAAACTGAAAGTTATAAACGTTGAACAATGCTTTAACATAAAATGCATGAGACAGAATCTGAAATTCCTACATTATTTTTAAGTTTCCCTAAGCACAAAAGCAGGGTTGGATTTACAAATAGGCCTTAAAATTCCCACATTACTTTAAAAATCAAATAATAAAAAATATACTTTAGTTATTTAATAATGGTTTTGTTCTTACAAAAAAATTTTGAGCAAGGCTCAAGCTTTTTTCTTTTGTTTATTTAAAATACTTTATATGCTATGAAAGAAACTTTTTTTTAAAAGAAAGTTTTGTTTGCAACCACTTATGACACGATAACTTTGAATTTCAAATTAAAATAATAAATATTATCACTGAAGCGTTTTCTTGCTTAGACCTTAAGCAAGAGTTAAATACAATAATTAAACAAAATAATTAAACAAAATTTAACCTTTTGCCCAAGGTTCTAAGCAAAATTTTTTTAAAAATTTTTGTTAGTGTGATATATATACTTCTTTAGATCACAAATTTAGGGAAACTAAGCAAGTTAATTATTAAATTATTTTAAAAAATAAACAAACTATTTTTCAAAAAACTTGTTAATTTTTAAGACAGCTTATGGAAGTGTCACTCAAAAATGTAAAAATAAAGCAGTGAAAAACAAGAAGCCAAATGAATTATCAAACTTGATGCATTTTTTAAAAGCGTAATATAAAGAAGTAACTACACCAACTTCTTTGTATTCTTCAGCTTTGAAAGAGGAAAAAGTAGTTTCTGAAAATGAAATTTCTGAAACTGAAGATCCTGCATCAAGATCAGGAGAAACATTGCATTTGTTCAAAAATCATTTTAAACAGTAATAGGCTTGTATATAAATAGAAGTAACAAAATACAGGAATATCTAATGAAGGTATTTCATTTTATTTTTTTCACAACACTTGATGACAATTTTTAAGCATCAAAACAGTACAAAAAACTTTATTGATTCTTCTTAAATCATTTTTTATTTGAGAAGAATGATAAGCAAAAAATTTGTATTATATAACATTATTGCGAATAGCTAATATATTAGCCCTCAAAAATAATTGCTTTTTGTTTTGTGTTTAAAATTTTTAAGATTTTTAATTATTGTCTAGCAACTAATGGTTTGAATGATTTCAATTAGTAAAAAGACAAGAAAATAATTTCACAGAATTAAACTTTTTAGAATGCAGATCTCAATAATACAATAATGCTTCTACACTTGAGTGGAAAGTACAAGAAAGGTAAGTATTTTAGAAAAAAACATATAGGCAAAGTTTTTATCATATGCTGGACATTTGCTATATTTGGTTTGATTGTGTGGAGTTTGGAAGATAAGATAGAGTACTTGAGTCAAAGTTTTTTTTTTTTTCATTCTGTCAAAGTTTAAAAAATAATTATGTAATTTTAATGGACACATTAATGAGTATTTCTGATGCCAACATTTTAAAATAAAGATAAAGCAGCATTAAATATATATTCAAAAATGAAAGAATTTTAGTTTGACTGCAAATTTTGTAAATCCAAAATCTAATGTTAAAGTAGATATGTAAAGTCGTTATCTAGAAACTACTTTGACACATTTATTCTGTATTATTATATTAATTATATTATTATACTAACTATATTATATTAATTATATTATTAAAACCATAAGGTGATAAGGTGAAAAAACATAATCATCAAAAGGAAAAAAAATTCTCACAATTTTCTAGAGAAAATCGTAAGAATTTTTTAACTCTTGACTATTAACTTTTTTGTGAAAAAGGTTTTTTTAACTAAAATTAAATAAGAGCTGTTAATAATAATAATAATAATAATAATAATAATAATAATAATAATAATAATAATAATAATAATAATAATAATAATAATGTACACTGTGACAACTGATGAAATCAATTGTGGAGCACAACAACAGAAGATGTTGTGCTATAACAGCTATAAATGTTTTATAATAGCATTGTTTACTTTTCAATGTATATAAATATTATTTAGTATTTAATAAATAATTTTTGCAGTAATCTGATTTATCAAGTTTATTTTTGAATTGGTCAATTGTCATTGATTCGATAATATATGGTGGTAAACCATTCCAAGCATTTACGACTCTACAGGAAAAGAAATTATATCTATAATTGCTCTTACAATATGCCTTTGTTAACTTTTGGTTATGACTACGAAAATTGTAAGGTTTGATTTTTTGTAAGGTAATGATCAACAATGACACAAAATACTTTTGATTTTTAGTGTAAATACTTACTTGATTATTAATTTTTGTTTAACTAATGAATATTCAAATAAAATACAACAAAAAATAAAAGTATTTTGAAAATCTTAACTTCTTCCATAAGAAATTATGTAAATGTTAAGATTATAGAAATGTAAAGATGTTGTCATTAATTTTCAAAAAATTAACTATAACATACATATTTGACAAAAAAGTTAGGAGCCCTGAATTTTCACAGAGCCAAAGTTCTATATTTCCTACAAGATAAATCTGTCCCGCTAATAAGATATTATATTGTAATATAAAGGTTGAAGATTTTTTTACCTTGCATTTCCATATGTAAAACTTTGCTTATTACAAATTCTTAATTGAATAACAACTGGTGAAAATACTTAATATTCTTAGGTAGTTAAAAAAATTTTTTTTACTACTTTTTACATCCATAGCTCTATATTTAATTTTACATCTTTTTTTTTTTTACTTTATATTTAATTTAACTAATGCCCAATATTTATTCAAAAAATATTCAATAAGTTTTCTTTTGATGTATTTTGAAATATATCAAATAAATTTTGATATATTTTGAAATATATCAAAAATGTATTTTGATATATTTTGAAATAATAACTCTTATTGCATATTAAAAATTGAAAATAATAGATTTTTTGCTGAAAACTAAATAATTTTGAGCTTAAATTTTATAGTTTCTCTTTATTTAAAATCACACTTTAAAAACAGCATAAATTTTGAAATACTTAACTAGTAATCAATAAATTTTATTTTCAGGTTTAAGGTCCAAGATACAATGGATAAAATAAAACAAATAAATTAGTAACAATACACTTGAATATAAACAAAAAAAAAAAGCTATAGAGATAATTTTATACTTTAAAATAATTTAGAATAAGGTGGATACAATTTTGTTAACAAAATTAGGTTGTTTTTGTTTTATTTTTATTTTATTTTATTGAGAATTTAAGCTCTATAATTACAAAAGGTCATCAAACAAAATATTTTGGATTGACTTAAATATACTCTAAAATTTTTTCATATTTGTTATTTTTTATCACTTTATGATATTTATTATAGAACAGTTATTTTAATTTTATGAAAGCAACAAATCTAATTATGTATTTAAAATACAAGCTCTTTTGTTTATTAAAGGTTTAGCCTTTAATAAAGGCTTTTTTTAGCCTTTAATATGGCACTAATGTAAAATCTTTAGTTTTTAGTAAACAAACTTTACATAGAGGTTTAATGTAAAGTTTGAACGAATATGTGCTAACTTTGCATTTTTTAAACTAAACATTTTATAATTAGGTTACTTTAATCTTAAAACGACTTGAATTCCTTACCAGGTAAGCTTCATTTCCCATGTTAAGCCTTTATAAAAATAGTAAAACTAATTTTAAATTCCCTGAAGCAGCTATATTATACTCAAACATTCATTTTCAGCCTTTAAATGCATTTTCAAAGCATTCTTTATGTTTACATTCCCGTGGTCAAGAGTCTTTAATTTAAATTTTAAATACATGAACGCGTTTTTACTTCTGAATTGTCCGCAGATTTTCTTTAACGGTTGGAATGTAATAAACGAGAGTAGACAAGGCAACTAAAGTAAACTACGCAACGCGTTCAAGTTTTTGTTTTTATTAAAAAAAATTACAGATGATTTTTCTATAAAAGTTATAAATTAATTCATAGTTTTTTCATCTTACTAAATAACTGCAGTAGACTAACAACTATAGTATTTGTTGAACTAATTAAAAAAAAACGCAGAAGAATTTTCTACAAATGTTATAAAATAGTAATGTATTTAAATAAGTCTTTATAGATTACATGACAAATAAATAAAAAACAATCCAATTAACAGATTAAAAAACAAAAGCATTTTTTTTTTTTTTTTTTTTTAGTTTTTTTTTTTATTTTTTTGTTTTATTTTATTTATTTATTTTTTTTTATTTTTTTATTTTTTTGCTTTTATTTAATTACAGTTTACGTTTATGAAAAATGTACCTAAAAGTAGCTGCTAAAGCACGAATTAATTAAATTAAAAGTGCAGCTCATCTTCAGTAAAAGATGCACTGTTTGCAGCTGTAGGAAAAAAATACTTGTCAATTCTACTTTTGAATGCGTTGATTGACGGAGCCTTTTTGCATGACAACGGTAAATAATTCCAATCATTCACAATACGATTTGTGAAGAAATTATGTCGAGCATTATTGTAAGTGAAATCACGCGTTAGTACGTTGGATGGTGATCTGCGAAGAGGTGGATTATGCCAAGGAGTTGTCCATAAATTACGTCACGCAAATTTTGACCGTTTTCAACTCCCCCCCCTCCTCCCTCGTCACAAAATCGTAACACTTAAGAAGCGAGTTTTGAATGAGTCGTCACAAAACCATCCCCCCCCCCCCTTATAGCGTGACGTAATTTATGGACGACCCCCAATTAATAATTTCAAAACCGTTTTCAAGTTTAAACTGTTGGATCAAGTCGCCTGCGAGTTTCCAAAGAAGTAAAATTGAGACGCCGACACCTTTCAGCATAAGGTAAACTTGTTATATCATGAGGAATTTTTGTTGCTTTGTGCTGAATTTTTTCAATTTCTTTGATGTCGCCCTTTAAGTAAGGACACCATACCGGAACAGCAAATTTCAGGTGTGGCCTAACATATGTAGAATATAGTTTACCCCAAAGCTTAATATCTCTTGATCTAAATGTTTTTTTAGTAGGCCAAGTATCATATTTCTAATTTTTGGTGGGGGAGGAAGGGGGGAAGGAATGTTGATACTAAAACTAAAAAAAAAAGGAAAAAGTTCTTAATTTTCAAAAGGACCTCTACATTTGTAAGCTCTTCCCCTTAATTGGGCGGCCTAAAATAAACGGCACTGTGGATATTCTTTAGGGGTCATCAATAAATTACGTCTCGCTTTAATGGAGAAGGGGTAATGTTTTTGTGACCACTCATCATCTCATACTAGGCACTTCAGTCACGTGACTTTTTTCGTGTGACAAATTCTTATTGGGTTTTATTTCTAAAAAAAATTTATACAATGAAATTATAAAATATTTTTCCTAGCCCTTTTCAGGTTGCATTTTCTATCGACTGTATTGTAAATCCTGAAAGTCTTTTCTATGATGGTATAGTGGATTATCCTTCGCCAGCTAATTGCCTTGTTGGCGCCACAGAGACTAGTTTCGGCTCCTAAGGGAGCGTCATAGCTTGCTCTACAGACCGAGAGTAAGGTGAGTTTGGGAAGAACGAAGATATGTTAGAGTAAAAGATAGAAGTAGTCGAGTTAGAAAGATAGCATAGACTCAGCGGACAGGATTGCAAACGATGTTAGAGAGTGCACTATATACTGTTAGTTAGGTCGTGATCCGACTTAACTTCCCAGTCACTTAAGTATTTTCTGTGATGTTGTAGAACGCAGATAATTTACAATTAATTTTGAATTAGTTTGAATTAGTTTTAAAAATGATTGTTTACAATGAGCAACGGTAATGGGTATTGTTAAAATTATTCGATATACGCGATGCATTCATTTGGATATAATTCTTCCGAATTCCTTTCTAAAATGAATCCCGAATTCTTTATAATAGTATAATTATCTTCTAAAATATATCTTAAAATAGAAAGTGCTTTTTTAACTTCCTCCTCCTCAACATCATTTCCTAAGTGTTTGACCAGATTTGAACAATTAGTATTGAATTCATTTGTATTCATACTTTTTAGATTTTTATTATCAAAAAGAAAACCAAAAATTCGATTAAAAAAATTATGCAATTCAAATCGTTGTTGCAAAGAATCTTTTACATTATTGATTAGTTTATTAAAATAAGATTCTTTAAACTTATTTTTAGTCGTTTGAGTTAGATGGTTATACTCATCATTAATTTCATAAACGAGATCACGTATATCAAATTATCACAGCATTTAATTGGATTAAACATCGTCTATTGGTTCAATTAATTATCAATCATTATCATATCAATATTATAATATATCTCATTTGCTTTATTTTTATGGTCTGTATAATAACAATAGTCTGCCAATCTCTTGAGATTACGTAATCTCCGTCTTGACTAATCTAGGTTCTGTTGATTAAAGACAATCTCTGTTTCTATTTAATATTTGAGTATCTCAAGAAGATCGTTCAGTGAACTGTGCTATAAAATCTATATCTACTTATGCTTCTAGTACTTCTTTTATAATCTGTTCAAAATTGTTTATGAAATGATTAAGAGATAATAGCATAGCCTTTGTATGTTGTAATGCAATATTAATTGTCATATTTTTTCGCTGAAGCAACTGATTGAAAATGTGAGGCTTTGATAACAAGTGATACCAAAGTGTTGTGAGCACCACAGATTCATCAGAATTTATTTGTTTTGTTAAAAATGCAGCATGAGTTTTACAATCTGAATGGCTACTTTTATGTTTATCTAGCGGAAGACTCATTTCTTTTATCTGGTATTTCACGGCTTTTATACTTTTAAAGCAATATTCCCATCGAGTATTGCTTGGCGCCTTCAGAATAATTTTTCAATATTTTACTTGAAAAACCTATCGCTTTGTTAATGCAGCAAAAATTTTATATAAATTAATTAATGTAGTTAAGTAATTCTGACTTTTAATAGTGTTTTTAACATTATCATTTATAACTAAATTGATGTTATGTCCACCACACGCCATATACTATGATTTGTTGTTGATTTCTAAAATTTAACTTTTCACTTTCTTATATTCTCCTTTCATATTGCTGGCATTGTCATGCGACTGGCCTCGGCAATCAGTTATCGGCAATCTTAATTCATAATATTTTTAAATCTTCAATACGAACGTTTGCTGTATTTTCTCCGGTTGATGACATTATAATTACAAAGTTTAAGAAACTGTCTTGAGCTTCCACTATTATAAAATACCGAATAATGATGGACAACTGGTCTTTTTTGCGAAAATCTGGTGTAGAACATTACGGAAAAATATTTTGATGATTTAATATTACTTACTATTGTATATAAAACTCTAGAAGCTAGTTGTAAGATTATTTCGATTTGACTTTTCACAGAAAAATATGATGTAACTCTTTTTTCTGTATAAGTGATTGATTTTAAATGCATTTTGAGTTCTGGAACAAAACCAGCAAGTAATTCAACTACTTCTAAAAAATTATCATTTTTTAATTCAAAGAGTTTTTCGTTTCTGCCCGTAAATTTCGTTCACTTAAAAACAATACCGCTTTTACAATGCATTTTAAAATTATTCGCCATCTGCGTTTTTCTTAACTGAACACATCTTCATTGAGACGATTCCTGTTCTGTGTTTAATGTTAAATTCTAGAATTTGCCATTTATACGTTGATTCAAAATGTTTCTTTAAAGATTCATGTTCAGATAACCGTATTCCTGTATGGGCATAGTTAGAAAATCCACTTAAAGTTAAGATTATCTTTATTGATGCAAACAAATGACAACAGAAACAGAAACTTTTTTCTGTCTAGCTAGAATATAAAATCCAATTTCTTAATTCATTTTCACCTTTTTTTTATTTGTAGGTAAAAAAAAGTGTTACTGAAACATCTTCTTTGGGAATTTCTTGTATAGTGAATATCTTTAATACTTTTTGGTGACTGCTCTACCAAAAACATCCGTTGTTTGTTGTCGATTTCAACGGGCCATGTTGCAAAATCTGATATATCATAATTGCATTTTAGTTTTTTGTTTTTTTTTAATATTTGCATTCACTCCCAACAAAGCTGCAAGCAACCACTATTAAGTTGGGAGTTACTAGGAAAAAAAAGAACAGAGTTATAGAGCAAGGAAACGGTTGACAGAAGACTTGAAAAGTTGAAGGTTGTATGAGTCAGGAAAACATGAAGATGGGAGAGAGTTCCAAAGGATTGAAGTGCGGGGAAAAAAACTAGATGAATAAAAGTTTTTAGAGCATGCAGGGACAAATACAGTAAACGAATGAGACTTGAATGACGAGTAAAACGAGAATGAATTTTAGTTGATAGAACTAGAGATGATAACTCCTTTGAGCAGTGACCATGATAGTATCTGTAGAAAAGAGAAAGAGATGCAACTTTACGACAATGGGAAAGAGGTTCAAGCTTAGCAGATAGTCCAGGTCCAACAACATTTACAATGCGTTTTTGGACCTTGTCAAGAAGAGAAAGTGAATCGTTAGAAGAACCAGCCCAAATATGACAACAGTATTCCATACAGGGGAAGAATAAGAGATTTGTAGAGGTAGAGAATGGAATCAGAAGTAAGGGAATGGCGAGCACGATAAAGAGCAGCAACCTTAACAGAAGCTAATTTAGCAATCGATTGTATATATGGTTTCCATGAAAGGTCAGTAGTAAGCGATAATCCAAGAAGACGTAAAGAGGAGGACTCAGTAAGAGGATTGCAATTCATTAATATAGGAATGTTGACCATAATACGGTAGTTGTTTGCAGTAAGCAATTGGGTTTTTTTAGAGTTGAAATTCACAAGCCACTGTGAACCCCAATCTATTACTGAAGTGAGATCAGATTCAAGATCAGCTGCTTGTTCTAGGCGATCGAAAAGAG